GTGTGGGGGGGGGGGGGGGGGGAGTGATAACCTAGGGGGGTTATCACTCCCGTAGCGACGCCACTGGTTGGCAATATCTTGGATTGGGACTTGTGTTGTGGCCACCAATTTACCATAGCACCCTTTTATGATTGGGTATGAATGCTGTAGGGAGTGCGTTGGACTTCTTGGCTTCATGGATTGAGCTCTGTACAGTAAGACCCAATGGCTGGGTAAGGGCATTCCCCATTTCCCCCTTGTATGATTGGGAATACCCTGGATTTAAGAGTAACACCCAATGGCTGGGTAAGGCCTTGCAAACAGGATCAAACTGAAGAGGTCCCTATTGGCCTCAAAACATTGCTTCCTGGTGACAAAGTGTCCTGTCTTCTCATCTGAACATGGTGGGTTGGTGATATCTTAGACTGGGACTTATGTTGTGGTGGAACCAGCCACCAATTTACCATAGCACTCTTTTATGATTGGGTATGAATGCTGTAGGGAGTGCGCTGGACTTCTTGGCTTTATGGATTGAGCTCTGTACAGTAAGACCCAATGGCTGGGTTAGGCCATCCACCATTTCACCATAGCACCCTTTTACGGTTGGGAGTGCACTGGACTTCAGTAAGAGCCAATGGCTGGGTAAGGTCATACAACAATCTGCCTGAGGAAGAGGTCCCTCTTGGTGAATATAAAGTGTCCTGCCTTGCCATCTGAACATGGAGTGTTAGTGATATCTTGGATTGGGACTTATGCTGTGGTGGAGCAATCCGCCATTTTACCATAGCACTCTTTTATGATTGGCAATGCTCTGGACTCCTTCTTGGATTTATGGATTGAGTTCTGTTGAGTAGGACTCAAGGACTGAGTAAGGTCATGCATATAGCAACAAGCAAAGAGCGGTAACCCCTAGAAACCTGTCAGATTTAAATAAACACAACATTCTATTTCACACATTTTATATTACTGTAATATTTTTTTACATGCTGGCCTTTTTAGATGGACACTTGAAGATTTACCAATGCTGATGATGGACTTCAGAGCCCAAAAGGACATGCACCAGCACAGCAATTCTGACCTCTCTGTGCCACTGCCCCACCTACTGTCTTCTCATTGGATGACTAGCAAGTCTCATCCCACCGCCCCGCCCATCACCTAACAGAGAGGACATTCCTACTGCAAGATGTCAGCATTCATCTGGTATGTGGTATTGCACTATAGGTGGATTTTATTACAGCGGATGAAGGAACAAATGTCCTAATGATTGAAGGAGCAGATAATTCATGCCATGAATTGTCCTTATTACAAGAGGACCAATCAGAACAATGAACAGAGACTGGTTGCTATGGGTGACTGCACTCTGCTCCTTGCCTTGTTGCATTGTTACAGGCTGCCGGAGGTCAGTTTGAACATAAATACCCCAATCGTGGTGTGTGTTATTGCTCTGTATCCCTGGAAATGTTTCCTCCTGGCTGGGGCTCTATTATTAGCCGTGTGCCTGAGCTGCTTTATTGCAGAATTTTTCTGCCTTCAAGAAATGTCTGTTCTGTGTTGCAATAACAAAATCATCAATAATGTATTCTAGCAGGCAGCAGCGGGGGAGTAATCTGAGGATAACTGAGGAGAAGAGAATGTGTGCCGTTCCCGACTTAAATATTCTGTCCATGTAGTGCAGGAGCAATAAAAAGTCTCTGCTCCCAGGCTACCGCCATTTGAAGCTGCCCATCTCTCTTCAGTGCAGCAGAGCCCAGTCTCAATGCAGCAAAAGAGTAAAAGGAAGTTCTGGCCCCAGGACATCGGGACTGGTATCATTGGGGGTAGAAAGGTTATCAGAGCCGAGGAGAACAGCAGTAGTGTTCTAGTTGTAATCAGGGCCGGCCTTAGGCCTTTAGGCGCCCTGTGCGAGAAAGCTTTACAGCGCCCCTCAGTGGTTGTTATAGTTATGGGGAAGGTGAGTGTGAGGGTAACAGGAAGAGGTAGTGTGAGGATTACAGGAAGGGTTAGAGTTAGGGTTACAGGAATTGTTAGTGTTAGGGTTACAAGGAGGTTAATCTAAGGGTTAGAGTTATGGTTATAGGGGTGGTTTTGGAGGATACCATGGTGTGACAGTGTCAGTGTTACAGGGAGGGTTAGTGTTAGGATTACAGGAAGAGTTAGTGTTAGGCCTCATTCACACACGAATCGGCCTGCACGTACAGCTCCGTGCTGCGTGCGGGGCCGTACCAAGTAGCTGCCAGGAAGGACAGGTGCTGCGTGTGATTAGAACGCAGCCCCCGTCCTTCTCTATGGGGTTACGCGGCCGTACGCCCTCCTACGCTCACCTCATTTGCAGGTCCGTAGGGGTGCGGGTGATCGTATTCATACGCCGCTGGAATGGAACATGTATGCTTCCCGGCCAGAAAACTCGCATCCCTACGGACCTGCAAATGAGGTGAGCGTAGGGGGGCGTACGGCCGCGTAGCCCCATAGAGAAGGACGGGGGCTGCGTTCTAATCACACGCAGCACCTGTCCTTCCCGGCAGCTACTTGGTACGGCCCCGCACGCAGCACAAAGCTGTACGTGCAGGCCGATTCGTGTGTGAATGGGGCCTTAAGGTTACAGGGTGGGTTAGTGTTAGGGTCACAGGGAGGGTTAGTGTTAAAGGGAGGGTTAGTGTTAAAGGGAGTGTTGGGATTACAGGGAGGGTTAGTGTTAAAGGGAGTGTTAGGATTACAGGGAGAATTAGTGTTAGGGGTACAGTGAGGTTTAGTGTAAGAGATACAGGGAGGGTTAGTGTTAGGGTTACAGGGAAGTTTAGTGATAAAAAGATTGTTAGGTTTACAGGGAGTTAGTGTTAGGGTTACAGGGATGGTTCATTTTGGGTTACAGGAAGGTTTAGTGTTGGGGTTATATAGAGCATTGGTATTAGGGTAACATGGAGGGTTGGTGTGAAGGTTACAGGGAGGGTTAGTGTTGGGGTTACAGGGGGGTTTGTGTTGGGGTTATAGAGAGGGTTTTTGTTAGGGTTACAGGGAGGGTTAGTGTTGGGGTTATAGAGAGGGTTAGTGTTAGGGTTACAGGGGGGGGGGTTAGGGTTGGGGTTATAGGGAATGTTGGTGTTAGGCTTA